CGTTTATTGCTGCCCCCGGGGGGGGGGGCGTTATATCTGTCCACAATTGGGTTATTCTGCCTGTTTTATCCATATGTATTATGTCTGTTTCCCATAAAGAATTGATGTTTTTATCCTGGAATGTAAGGGGCCTGGGTGATAAAACCAAACGGGGTGCTGTCTTCCATGTGCTTAAACATTTAAAACCGTATGTAGTATGTTTGCAGGAAACCCATTTGAAATCTGACACTGTCGGTACCCTCCGCTCTCGTTTATGTCCTATACAATATCATTCCTTCCACTCCATGTTTTCTAGAGATGTGTGTATCCTTATCTCTAACTCTATTCAATTTGTTCATGTGCAGGAGTGGATTGATGTGGAGGGTAGGTATATTTTCCTACTGTGTACTTTGAATGGGTTTCACTGCATAGTGGCTGCGGTATATATCCCTCTGCCCTACTCTTCAGAGGTTATTAAACGCCTAGCTCAATTTATGGCCAATCATCCTGATGTTCCTCTATTGGCGTTGGGTGATTTTAACAATTGCTTACTCCCGAGCTTGGATAGATTGCCCTTGGGCGGTAGGGGCAGACAATTATCCTCTCAGCCTACCCCATTTGCTAATTTATTGGTGAAACTGGGCCTCCAGGATGTGTGGTGGATGAAGTATCCGACAGCAAAATGTTATTTGTGTTTTTCTGCTACTCATGATGGGCTCTCACGCATAGATTTGGGCTTTGGGAACACAATTATCCTGCCATATGTGTTTGATGCTGCGTACAATTCCAGGGCTCTATCTGACCATGCTCCTTTCTGAGTCAAGTTAAAGGTGTGTTATACCCGCTCTCATCCGCTGTGGAAGGTGAACTGTTCCCGGAGTCCGAGTTCATTCCGGGGGAGTTGCCAGACTTTTTGCAGCGGAATGCAGGCTTGTACCCACCAAAATGGTTTGGAATGCGATGAAGACCTTCCTATGGGGCTAGATTAATCCTGAAGATTTCAGCGGTTAAGCATAGATCTAGGGAGTGGGAGGAAAAGGAATGGTTAGATGTTCAAGAACGGGAGGTTCAGATGATCCAAGACCCAAGGCCCTGTAGCTGCGCCTCCTGGAAAGAGGCCCAAGTCCCTTTATAAATCAGTGCTTACTCAAGTGGCAGATAAGAAGCAATATTTTTTGCCACAAAAATATTTTGAGGAAGGGGAAAGTACGGGACACCTTCTTGCTCTTGTGGGGAAGTCACAACAAGGGGTGTCCACTATAGACAAGGTTGAGGATGCTGATGGAGTGATCTGCACGAGTCTTGCGGAAATCCTGAGAGTTTTTCATCTCTTTTTCGATGATCTGTATGCTTCTAAAACTGTAGCCACCCATTCTGAGCTTTTGCAGTTTCTAGACACCTGCTCTTTTCCTGTTTTATCGGAGACTGACCAGAGAGAACTGGAGATGCCAATTACTGTTGAGGAGTTATCTGAAGCTTTGGCAGGCACTCCTAGTAATAAATCTCCAGGTTCAGACAGATTGCCATCTATAATGTATTCGGTGTGCAACTTCTCCCGGCATTACTCAATGCCCTGAATGTCGCCATGGATGAAAATGGTTTGTCCCCCTCCATGAATGAAGCTGTTATCATAATATTATTAAAGCCTGGAAAAGATCTATTAAAACCTAGCTCCTACCGACCTATTTCCCTTCTGAATACGGATGCTAAATTGCTGGCCCAGGTTCTAGCTACTAGACTGGCGCGGATTATTGGTAGTATCGTACATAAAGATTAGTCGTGGTTTATTCCTTCTAGAGCGATGGCTAATAATATTCGCAGACTTTTTTTGAATTTGCAAATTCCAGTGGACAATCCTGGGGGAGGACAATTTTGTCTTTGGATGCAGCCAATGCATTTGATAGTGTGGAATGGCCTTATCTATAAGAAGTATTGTCTAGATTTGACTTTGGTCTCAAGCTCATTAGCTGGGTGCGCCTTCTCTATGCAGCCCCTAGTGCCTGAATCCGAGTTAACAGGGATTGGTCAGATTCATTCAGGCTGCAGAGGGGAACGAGGCAGGACTGTCCTCTCTTGCCCCATTTGTTTGCTTTGGCAGTAGAACCTTTAACAATTTTGGTGCGACAATCTCCAGACATCATCGGTTTTACAAGGGGCGTTCTTTCAGAAAATACATCCCATTTATGCGGATGACACACTGTTATATTTGGGTGATACTTCCACATCCTTAGATGCTGTTATGTCCCTTATTGAAAGCTTTGGTGGATTTTCCAGTTTTAAAATTAATTGGCACAAATCGATGTTGATGTCCGTGGATCCTGTAGAACCCCCCTCCCGGCCTGTACACAACACATCCTAGTAGTGTCTACATTTAAGTATTTGTGGGTGGTAGTCTCTCCTGATCCTAAGCAGTATATTTCTTTTAATCTTTTACCTCTACTTCATCAGCAGAATTTGAAGTGTAACAGTTGGTGAAAACTCCCTCTGTCGGTGGTGGGTACGGTCATTTTAATTAAAATGATTTGGGCCCTGCAACTTCTTTTATTTTTTATAATTCTCCCATATGGATTCCTAAGAAATAGTTTTATCGCATAGAGACCCAGTTTAGGAGTCTTATTTGGAAAAAACAAGCGGCTAGGATAAAATTGTCCATGTTGCAATATGGCAAGGAGTCAGGGGGGCTAGCGGTTCCTGAGCCCAGACTTTATTTTCTGGCGGCCCAATTGCAGCAACTGGTTGGCTGGGATTCGCCTGATAATACTGATCCCATTATAAGTTTGGTTTCCCTTCCTGATTCCACCATTTCGGCTTTTTCTCATCTTGAGATGGCTCTACCTGTCCTTCCATCCACGGCTCCAACTGTGGACCTCTTGAGGTGCGTCTGGAGTATGGTAAAAGCGTCCCTTCATATTACCGACTTTCTTTCCTTTACTCCCTTGTGAAATAATCTGCAATATGTAGAACTGGCTAAAATGGAGGTTTTTCACAACAGGAGGGATCGAGGCCTGAAATTTGTATCTCAGCTGTATTCGGGGGCAATCCTAAAGTTCTTTTCTCAACTGCAAATGGAATTTACATTTACATCTAAGCATTTTTATCGTTATCTTCAGCTACACCATGCAATACAGGCTCAGTCTTTGCTCTTTAATCTCACATTGACAGACATAGTTTTTCTTAAGGATGTCACTCAAACTACCCATAAGAAGGGCAAGATTTCTCGGGTATATTCCCAGCTATTGTCCACAGTACAAGATCAAGCTAGTCTCCAGAGCAGAGTGCAGTGGTCCCCGGATGTTTGAGAATTTACTGCAGATGTCTGGGATGCTGCCCTGGAATCTATTCCGGGAATTTCTCTTTCTCCCTCTCATAAATTGTCTCAATTGTTTATTCTCCATCGAGCATATAGACCCTGGTGCAACTTTATCGGTGGGACAGGCATGATTCACCTGATTGTCCGAGATGTAGGGTCCAACAAGGTGACTTTATTCATATGCTCTGGCATTGCCCCAAGTTGTATAGATATTGGGATGAGGTTCTCCAATTTATTTAGCTAGTATTCGAATATACTGTTCCACAGGATCCCTTGCAATGTCTGTTGAGGGCACTGGACCAAGAACTGCTCCAACCAGGACTGTATATTATGGTATCTAGACTTTTATATCTGGCTAGGAAGTTGATAGCAAGGTACTAGTTATCTTTGGCTCCTCTGACTAGTAAGCAATGGATAGATTATGTTAATTCATTACTCCGCGAGAGACGCTTACGTACCAACATCACAATGCTTATCGTAACTTCCAGCAGGTATGGCAGGGTTGGCTGGATACACCTGGGTTCGCCTCTCCTCAATTTATAGTGGACCGACTTTTGCAGGTGTGACATTTTATATCAGGTGTGTGGCTCCACTCCTCCCCTCTAGGTGATTTTTTTTATTGTTTGAAGGCATGTTTTGGGCTTTGTTCCTTTCTCTCATTTCTGTTTGCATCAGGACGGAAAGGAATAAAAGGGAAAAAGGAAAAAGCAAGCAAGTTATTGTCAAGAAAGTTTTGGATCCTGGTGGTCTCTGTTTCATTTAATTATTATTTCTGTTATTCTGTCTTTTACGTGATCTGCATATCCATGTTGTTCTATTTATGTGTAATCCTGCTGTTGCAGTAACGTCATTGTGGATTTTGTAAGTACTGTTCCATTTTCTCTATTATCTTGACAATAAAAGTTGTTTGGATTAAAAAAAATGCATATTACTGCTTTATAATTTAATTCATGCATGATTGCTGTCTATATTTTTCAACATTGAGGATGAAGAAAAAAAACTTTTTGACTATGAGGAGAATATGTGGTGTTCATACCTCTGGCCTGTAGATGCAACTTTTTACAGTTGTTATTTGATGTTGTAGTTGTTACTTAGGTATAGTTCTTTCTGTACTCTGTACAAGTTAGTTCCAGTTCCTGCTTTGATATGCTCACAAGGCTGCACATACTTTATGGATGCCTGAGCTTCTTAATAAAGCATTCTATATTTACTCAGACTACATGACATAACAGTTTGTAATACACAAAAGCAAACTGTCTAAAAACAGTCTAAAAACCAGTTTAACTTTACTGTAATTGATTTTATCAGAATTGCAATGTTTCCTAAATAGCATAACCATAAGTGTGTGCACATGTTCAGTTTGAAGTAGATATGCCATGATCTGGATGAATGAGAACTTTCACAAACTTACTAAAAAAGCCAATACTGTTTCAGTCTAGGGTTTTCAGAATAATATTAACAAAAATGTTTGTGTGTGCTTACAGTAATAACCTCAGATCTTGTGCTGAAAAACCATTTCATATAGTATTTCCTGGGCAAAAGGTAACCATTAAACAGCATTCACTATAAAGTAGAATAAACCTCAGGGGGAACACAGCTGAACCCCATAACTCACAAGTAGATTATCACCAAGATCAAACATCTTTAAAGAACTGTCATCTACAAATGTTTATATTTCAATTGCACATTAACTCTGTTGAATTATTTATAGGTATCTGTAAAGTCTCAAACTTGGAGAATGGATATCATTTACCCAATAAAAGAATTTTTAAAGTTGGAGAGCGGCTCCAATATCAGTGCGATGAAGGTTACATGACAGCTCAAAGAAATATTGTAGAAGAAGCAGAGTGCCTTTTGTCTGGATGGTCAGCTGTTCTACAATGTTTCCTGGTACAGCAATATGTAGTCTTTCTTTTTCTTTCTTTCTTTCTTTTTTTTTCTTTCCTACAGGCTATAAACTATGAACTGGCATCATTTATTTAAATTGTGGTTATGTATTTTGTGTGATTTCCTGCAACTACTGACTGCATTGTCAGAGAAAGGGAGGAGCACAGTGGTGAATGGTGCTCCTTCTATTCTTTGATGATGCTTTTACACCCCTTACTGGTACAGTGCTCCCTTCACTGCAACTGGCGGAGAGATCTTTATCTAGTTTAGTGTGGCACTGCAAGTTATATCTGGATCACTAATTACTGCATTGAACTCCTGGAAACTGCTTTGATTTACTTGCCTGCTATATGGCTTCCTTCCCCAGGATCATTAGGTGCAATATGAAATGGCAATGTTTCTCCTAGCAGACACGATACAGTGTATTGATAGAGAGAGCAAAAGTCAACAGTTGGCAATGGTGGTATTAGTGACAGGGAGTGCTTTTGTGAGTAGGATATGAAGGAAAAGGACAAAGTTTTGCTGCTGCTGCTGCTTTACTTGACTATTATAGTGGTACTTTTCATTCTTGTTGTCTTTGTGCATTTGTAGTACTGATGGTCATCAAACTGACCAGATAGGTCATGTAGAAATATGAGCTTTTCCTAGTAACATGTAGCACTTGTAGTACAATTGGTTACAGCAAACAGTCTCTTCTGGAGAGCTAGACAGTGTCTCCTATAGTACCACCCTAGACCCCAGTTGCTTCTCTATCTAGCTTCTTGGAGGAATCCCTGGACAGGGGATCCTGTGTCTGCCACATAAAAAGGATGAAACAATCCTGGGTGGCAGGCTAATCCAGTTTGCCACTAGAATTCGTCCTTCCCCTAACAGACCCAGGGGGTGCAGGTCTACTCACTTCTTCTCCTGTGCTGCTGATGGGTTGGCGGCTGCTACCAGGCATTTTAGCTGGACCGCTCCTCCCCTGCCTCACAGGTGGTCCTCTCTCAGGGGGCTGGTGAAGTCCTGAGCTTTCCTCCTTCCAAGGTCCTCTGCCTGTAGGTGAGCCCCTTTCCATTTGGGCTCCCTCTCAGGCTCCTGCCTCCAGCCTCACATCCTCCTCAACTCCTCTCTAACAACTCCCCTCCAACAACTCTCCTGTGGCTGAGCAGGCTCTCTCACTTTTAAGGGCAGTCCTGACCCCATGCCAAGCCTCCTGTTGGGAATAGGTCAGGATCCCTCAAAAGTGCAGACCATCCACACCTTACCTTCTCTCACTGTAGTCTCATAGAGCTGGCCTGCAGAGCCTCTCAGCTCTGACCCGAATTTAACCTCCCTCTAACTGTTGCACCTGGGAAGCCCCTAACAATTTGAGTTTGGCTCCCTTTAACTACCTAGGAGGGCGCTACAAACATTTTTCTGCTTTGTGTGTTGGCAGTGGCATGTACCTGGGTACACACTGTGAATTCTAGGAGCCTGCTCCATTATCAGTGATTTGGGGGAAGTGATGAGCTCTGGGCTCAGGTCAGCAGGGATTTACCAAATTTCAAAGAAGTTCAGATGCCAAAACTGAACCCCTTTGAGATCAATAGAAACTGAAATTTGTCAAATTAAAAATGCACATTTTCTGGACTGATAGATGATGGGTTGTATAAAAATAGCATGGAGGGGAGGGTGGCACAAGAAAGAAATAACAGCACACAGATCCCAAAGTTCTCTCCAAATACAAACCCCCAAAGGGTCTGTTATGTATTGTGGGGGGAACTTTGAAAGGGTCTGCATGCTGTTTTTTTTTTTTTGCAGTTTCCCATGTAGCCATAATACTACTTTACTGCTCTATCAGATCTGCCAGGTCTAGTCCCGCATTTCCTGAGTTCTCTGTCTGCTTGGGTCCCCACCCTTGGGTCTGCCCACCACATGTACGCATTCAGTACTCTTATATCTGCCAGGTCTAGTTCTGCATTTCCTGCATGCACTGTCTGCTTCTGTCTACGCCTCCCAGTTCATCCACCACTTAACAGACCTATAGAACAAAGCCTAGGGGAAGCCAACTGTGCATGCAGGAAATGTGGGACTAGACCCAGCAGATCTATAGGTACTGAATACTTACTTGTGGTGGACTGGCGGGTGGGGACACAAGCTGACAGAGAATGCAGGAAATGCTGGGACTAGAACTGGCAACTCTAAGGATACTAAAGCCTTACAGGTGGTGGTGGGTGGGCTGCTGGGGGAGACAGAAGCTGACATCTTTGTGTCAGGGCAGGGCTGTGGAACGGACAGGTAGGCCTAGTGGCAGGGTAACACACTGGCTGACGACAACCACCACCAACAGACCGAAGTCCCTCAGGGCGCGGAGTCTAAGTCCCAGGCTGCCCTTCACCAGGCCCCTGATGGTGGGGATGGACTTGACGCAGCCAGGAACCAGGTCGCGGCCCCCGAGACACCCCGGCTGCGGTAATGGCCGCCGCCAATGGCGTGTAGCTGGTGAGAATGACAATAGCGTAGTCAGGCAAGCTGGGTCAACAACAACGGGACAAAACAGTACAGAACAGTAGACAGAGAATCACAGGTCACGGGCCGGGTTCAGCAACGGAAGGTCAGATCGAAGGAAAACACAGAGAATGGTCTAGTCACAAGCCGAGTCAAATACCAGAAGAGTCACGAGCATATACACAGAGCTGTAGCAAGACAAAGACACAAGACACAAGTGCAAAGAGCATGTGCGGATCACAGGCTTATATGTACTCAGCCACACCTCTCTGGGGGATGGACCTCAGAGACCTGAAGGCATAAAAGCTTCCCACCATGCTCAGCATAAATCCAAGATGGATGCCAGCACATGGAGTAACATAACCTCTGGGAAAAGGTAGGACCTTGACACTTTGGTCCTGTCACTGGAATGCAAGAGAAGCTGAATCTCCCAATGCCCCCCTTCAACGCTCTGCCCAGGGCAGGTGCCCCTTTGGCTCCCTCTTGTTCCGGCCCTGATCACAGGCTTTTCTGAGGAGGTGACCACTCAGCATTTCTAAAGGAAAAGTTTGGTAAACAACCTAAGTGTGCTGTCTACAAATCATTTAACAGACAGAACACATCCCATATACAGTATGTATTTGAACAGCTGCAATGCTTATTATAGAATTTTTGTTATGCTAATAACAAAATCAGACTACATGAAGGCAATAACACCTTACACATTAGTAAATTTTAACTCCCATATTTAAAGGATAAGTTCACCTTTCATAACATGTTACACGTTACAGCCATATGCAGGGTATAACATGTTATGATCAAACCAGCTCCCGCTCCTCTACTTTGACAGCTAACAGGAGATCTTCACCACCCTCGTTTACTGTCAATTTTTTTCAAAAACATGGCTGTGTCTGTCTGCCTGGCCACATCACTTATTCACTGTGTTCTGTGAATGAGAAACTACAATTCTCAATGAACTACCACAATGCTGTGGAGAGCCATGATAGTTCATTGAGTCTTCCTGTCAGAATCTGCTTTCCCATACATCCTGTACGGGCAAGCAGATATACTGACAGACCTGCAGGAGACCTGCATGGCACCAGTAATCTGCTGATCGCTGGTGCAATGGTTTACAGGCTCCTGCAACAAAAAATAATAAATGCACATTTTTTTACCTGCAAAAAAAATGTTTTTATTTTTTTTTGTAAAAAAGATGAACTTATTCTTTAAATATTTGCACATTGCAAAATATGTCTTAACAGACTGTTGGAATTATGTGAGTGCCAGCATTCAGGTTCTGGACAGGTGGTTTCTCTTTGATTTTGGAGCCCTATGATACAAAAGCTAAACCTGCTGGCCATTGCACCAATGCTTATGAACGTTTCACACAAAGAGTCATTATTAAACACAGATATTCACAAACCCAATTTTCCAGCACAGGTTTACAGGATTTATTGAATTCCATGGCCACTTAGAATTCATTGCCTGCAATCACATTTACTTAACTTGGTTTATATGTTGTAATATGTATTTTATTATCTAATGTAATACATTCATTGCATTTTGTGTTTTAAAGGTATGTTCTAGGAGGGTTCAGTTCTTTATCTGTTAGATTTATATTTATTTTATTATTCTTTTAGAAATAAAATGTTTTGTTCTTCCATCCACTGGTTTTCGTAAACTTCATCCAGTCTATTTCAATGGCCAAGTAGGAAAATTTTCATGTGATGGAGGAATGATACTGAGAGGATCAGCAATTAGCCAGTGTTATTACTATGGATGGGACCCACCGTTACCAGTGTGTGAGGGTAAATATCAATTTTATGCTCTCACTCACACTAATTAAGTAATGTGTATGCATAAATTTGTGTACCGTATGTATGTGTATATCATTACAGAGAGTGTCCTAAATAAGAGTTACCACTGCACGCCCAACAATTTTGCTTTGCTAATTACAATATTCCTGTTGTCCAAAATTGCTCAACAACTATGTCTACCTTCAGTTGCAGACAAAAGTTCCAAGTGTCCATCTCCACCACAGCCAGCCAATACTGAAGATATTGAACAAAAATGGGACTACTTTGATGGTGACAAAATTCAGGTGAAATGCAAAACTGGTTTCAAACTTCATGGCCCCACATCTGTAGTTTGTCAAAATGACAAATGGACATCACCTCCTCAGTGTGTCAGTGAGTACTTTTTACAAACTTTAAATACTGCATCATTGAGTCTTAAATATGTAGGCATTTATGCAACACCCTGCGGGGTACCACATTAAAAAAAGTTGGCAATCTAAATCTGAACCTGCAGCCATGATGCAAATGCATCTGTGCAATCATTCTTCCAGTTTACAGGATCAGGAACTCACAATAATCCTTCTTAGATCCATTGGGCTTATATATGAAAATTTGTTGCTGCCCACAGCACCCAATTATTTTTCAAAGGGTCAATTTGCTATAGAGTAGAACATTCATTGAAAGTGAAAGCTAAGGGATTCATTTACTAAAGGTAAATAGGCTGATCACTTTGCAAAGTGAAGTTGCACTATGCAAGTGCAGTTGCTCTAGAGCATAGCAAATGAGGAAAAACGTCATTTTTTAAAGAATAAAGGAAACTTAACGAAAAAAAACAGCATTTTTGCTTGCACATGATTGGATGATGGAAGTCAACAGAGCTTCCCTTCATTTACTAAGCTCTGGAGCAGCTGCTCTTGCAGAGTGCACTTTGCAAAGTGCACAGTCTATTTACCTTTAGTAAATCAATCCCTATGTTCAACTTGCAATGTGCAAAGGAAAATTAAAAATAAAAAAGTTGCTTACACTTAATTGGATGATTGATGTGAACACAGACTTCATCTTATTTGATAATCCAATTGCCAAATCACATTGCAAGGTACAAATTCCTTACATCTTTAGCTAATCATTCTTCTTGTTATATTACCCCAGAAAAATAAAAGCTAAAAATCAATCAATATGAGCAGCAAGTGCAACTACACTTTTGTTCCTGTTTTCTGTGTATCTGAGGTCTGTTGTACATACTACAAGTGTGCTCAAGTTTTAGGGGGTGTATAAAGCCCTTAAAGTGTGACTAAAGGCAAAACTTTTTTTTCATTTTGGATAGAGCAAGGGAGGGTTATAACCCCCATCAGTTTTTTCTACATCTGTGTCCCATTGGGAAGATTTCCCTTCACTTCCTGTCCTATTACATACCGAATGAAGACTTCAACTTTGTGGAGGCCTCTCTTGCACCTCCTGCCCAACATTCCTGAAGGTGAAAACAGAGAGTGTGAAAGCACACAGTGGCACGAGTTCCGGAGTAGCTGGCTGTTTATGTCCGCTTGTTAGGTGAGTAGTGCTGGAAGTTGCAGTCCTCAGGACAAGATGCTGAACCACCAGAGCAGAAGGTGGAAGCAAAACCAGAAGGCAGATAGTAGTCAGTGATAGCTGAGCGACAAGGGACCACGTTGGCAGACAGAGCAAGTCCAGGAGACAGGGCAAGGTTAGTAACAGCCGGGCAAAGCAGTTCAGGATCAGAAGCAAAAACAAGTCTAGTAAACAGACCGAGGTCAGAATAATCAGATGAACAAAGCAGAGACAGGAGCAGAGGCAATGTCCAGGGGAAAACTGGGTCATACATAGGTAAGCAAGTGCAGTGGATAAAGACTCAGAAGCACAGAAGCAAGCTGAAGACTATTCTTATAGTAACAGACCAGTTTAAATAGGCTGCTGGGAGCCAAGTGAGCATGTTAATTGCTATGCACACATGCATCTAATGTTTGCCCCTTTACTTAGAAGTAGTAGCATGTGTGTAATGCACATGTACATGAGCATGAACATGGGTCTGCATTGGTTTCCTGGTCTTGGGAATCTGGTTTACCTTATATGTTCAATAGTAAAAACAGGAATTGAGAGAAAATCCCTCCACAGTGAGGCAATCTTATGGTTTCAACAGGGTCGCCAGAACTACTGCCCCATTGGAAAATTCCCTTCTATAGCGTTCTAATGTCAACCCAAAATTTGCGATTTTCCTAAACTTTCACTTTCGATGATAACAGTAAACAGGGTGAATAAGATGACTCTCCCCAACAGGGTCTTGGACAGCAGTTAACAGGTGTTCGAAACGGTCCCCACTCTGTCCAAAACTAAAAGAGAAAAAAAAAAATGTATACCTTTAGTTACACTTTAAAAGAAATGGCATGGATACATAGATTTCAGTTCCTCTCAAGTTCCTTTTACTGCTAAGGTTTTCTTTGTGTAGCACTTACCCCTGCAGGGCCCACTGAATTTATGCCCAGGGTTCTTTTTTTAGTAGTTGCCCCGCAGCTAGGCACACAGTCACTCCTTTGGCTCAAAGAACAGTCTAAGGGTATGCTTTTCCGAAGCTTTATTGCAGAACTTGAATTTGGATTGGTTCAGGGTAATTGTGGGATACACCAGTAACTTTAGTAGTGAACTTGAGGACACTAAAACTGTAAAAGACAGCAAGGGTCCTTCCTTGCAGCAAATATTGGACCAGGCTTTTCAGGAACACTTTAATAGTGAATTCTCTTCAGATAGAACTGACTCTACTGCAAGAGTTTTAGCAGTAGCAGTAATGTGAGCAAAAAAATCTTTGCTTGCAGCAGATAGTGGAATGAGATTTGTAGTAGCAACTTGAGGATGCTAAACTTTCTCTTCAGGATCCAAGCATAGTCCTTGCACAAGCAGTTAATGGACCGAGATTTTCCAGGACAAAAGACATAATGTCCTCTTGGAACAAAACTGACTCTAGCACACAGTTTCAAGGATCTCTCACATCAACCTTTGCTTACCAATGCCCTTATATAGTTGATTGCCTCCTTTAATATCTTCCAGACACTTTTTAGTGATACCAAACTAGATCCTCAAATGACAAATCCCTCAGTCAGTTCCAGCAACGCTCATCAGAGTAGGGCCCGCAGCTAGCCTAGTTGGGACCTTGTTGAAAAGCAGATCTCCTTCTCAGGCTCCATACACACTGGACGTTTTAATAACGCTGGTAACATTAGCTGTGTAAAGTCACGTTAAAAACGTGAGTTTTTCAGTGTTTTTTAGCGTTTTTACATTAGCGTTTAGTGGCATTTTGCCGCTTTCTTTGCGTTTGCGAGTTTGAGCGTTTCTTTTACAAAAAAAATGCTGTTTTCCTGTGATTTACCACGTTTTTTTTACAGCTATCAAACTCCTCTAGAAACCCGCTAGTCCTGGGTTTTTTTTCCAGCCAAAAAATGCCCCTGCCAAAAAACGTTGATTACAGTCTATGTGTGCATGAACACATAGGATAACATGCTGGGGAGTTCACTGGCTGTAGAAAGAAACATCAAAAGCCAAAAACAGCTTCTGTAAAAACGTCCAGTGTGCATGAGGGATAAGACACCTCTGTTCCAGGTCACAGAGTGTTTATACACACTCTCAGCTACCACCATGCCTGCATAAATATTCAGCAGATGATTTGAATCTTCCTGACCTCTACCTTCCAGAACATCTACAGACAGGGGGGAAGAAACAATAAACCCCGTGGCCAGTGAAACACTGAAAAAAAACCTGAATAATCACACACAGTTACACTGATTACAGTGAGTCCAGAATTAAATTTTCCTTACCTAGCACCTATCTAGGAGGGTGCTATATGTGATTCAAAACATTTAGACCTACAGTATGTTTCTGCAAAGTGTATGGTGTCATAAGCTTCTGTGAGTAGAAAATATACACAGGCTAAATAAGCAATAAATATATATCATTTTTATTCAAGGGACTTTGAAATGTGATAAACCACCATCCATCCCATTTGGGACACTGGATCAAGCAACTACAGACATATACTACAGCGGAGATGTTGTGATATACAAGTGCAGCAAAGATTTTGAAATGAATGGGGAGGCTGAAAGCATCTGCATCAATGGGAAGTGGTCTTTGCCTCCAGCATGCAGCAGTAAGTAACGAATGTTTATAATACTGTATCTCAAAGCAAATGCTTTGTACTGCTTGAACTTATAAACACATTCTTATGGACATTTCACAAGATGACTCATGATGCAATATGTCAATATGCAATTTTTTCTAGCTTGCACCATTTAGCAGATTCTCAAGGCTGGATGGGTCTTCCGGGCTGTTCTCTGATAAGTCCCCTTGCTCTAGAAACTTGTAAGTGCTGCTGGTGTGGAGCCTGGGAGGGGGGTCTGCCTACAGACTGGAAGCTGGAAGGAAGGAGCACCACTATCCCACAGTCTACCAGGGAACAACAGCCTGTCAGAGGGAAGGGAGTCAGCCCAGCGTAAGACCTGAAAGCAACTTCAACCTTTAACTTCTACACCCCCTGGGCCAAAGAAGGGAGAGAGCAGCAAGTGCACTACCCAACTAGTTATTCCTGGGACTACATTACTTATGTATCTCGGAATCCCTTGCCCTGGGATACTCTCAAGCCAGGAGGATGGGGAAATTTTCATCTGGGGTCTGAAGAGGTTCATTTAAGGGGACCAAGTGCTTCTTGCAAAGACTGTGTCCTTTTTTGTGTCTAAGAAGTTGTCCTCCAAGTTGTTTCAGTTCCATTGGGCATCCCATATACCCCTAGACCCTATACAAGTTGTTAGGCCCTAAAACAACAAAAAACAAGCTCATGGACTGTTTACTGACCTTGGATTAAAGTGTGGAAAATGCATGTTTCCTGACTGTGCAGAGCTTAGGGGGACCAAAAACTTAATGACCCTTGAGAGGGTAGCTCTACTTAAACATACCTGACATAGACAGGCTAAGTATAAGGGAAACACCTCACAGTTGTAATCCTACAGTATATGGAGCATCAACACCCTGCTCCTCTTCTTACAAGATGGGAGTAGAGTTTTTTCTAACACTGGTTTTATATATTGTTATGCAAATATTTAATTTTCCCTGCTAGTTAAAAACTTGACATTACAATGCATATGTGATATGGACATTCTGTCTAGATTTGCTGCTGAGATTTTAGCATTGTTCGCCGCTTCTTATTGTACCAATGAATATCAAATAAATAAATCAAAATAGAAAAACAGTGTGTAGAATATAGAAAAACATGTCTAGCTATGATACTTCAATTATCATTCTGAAAAGTATAGGTATGTATGCATGTACAGTATGTATAGCAATGGTTAGCACATCATAACACTGTACAGAAGATTCCCTAAATTTAACACAGAGAACATACGCTCACCGGCCACTTTATTAGGTACACCTTGATAGTACCTTGGAGTCCCTTTGTCTAAATTATTTGTGGAATAGATTCAACAAGGTGTTGGAAACATTCCTCAGAGATTTTGGTCCATATTGACATTATAGCATCATGCAGTGTCTGCAGATTTGTCGACTCCACATCCATCATGCGAATCTCCCATTCTACCAATTGGATTGAGATCTGGTGACTATGGAGGCCATTAGAGTACAGTAAACTCATTGTTATGTTCAGGAAACCAGTTTAATATGATTTGAGCTTTGTGACATGGTGCATTATGCTGCTGGAAGTAGCCATCAGAAGATGGGTACACTTTAGTCATAAAGGGATGGACATGTTCAGCAACAATACTCAGGTAAGCCGTGGCATTTGAATGATACTCAGTTGGTACTAAGGGGCTCAAACTGTGTCAAGGAAATATCGCCCGCACCACTACACCACCACCACCAGCCTGAACTGTTGATACACGGGGAAGGATGGATCCATGCTTTCATGTTGTTTATGCCAAATTCTGGCCCTACCATCTGAATGTTGCAGCTGAAATTGAGACTCATCAGACCAGGCAACGTTTTTTTTTTTTTCCAATCTTCTTTTGGTGGCTATTTGAGTTACTGTTGCCTTTCTATTATCACAAACCAGTCTGCCCATTCTCCTCTGACCTCATATTTTCTCTTTTACAGACCATTCTATGTAAACCATAGTGATGGTTGTGCGTGAAAATCCCAGTAGATCAGCAGTTTTTGAAATATTCAGATCAGCCCATCATGTACCTACAAGCATGCCACATTCAAAGTCATTTAAATCCCCTCTCTTCCCTATTTTGATGCTCGGTTTGAACTTCAGCAAGTCGTCTTAACCATGCCCTACCCACGTCCAGATGCCTAAGTGCATTGAGTTGCCACCATGTGATTGGTTGATTAGCAATTTGTGTTACCAAGCAATTAAACAGGTATATCTAATAAAGTGTCCGGTGAGTGTATATTGATACACATGAACTAGGTCCTATACATAATTTAAACCAAAATATTGTATATCAGGACCACAAGACAACAAAATGTCTCCCCTGGGACTTTTTTGGCAGCACCATTAATACGATAAAGAAACAGTATTTTTGAGTAAAGAATCTTAAAAACAGAATCATAAAAGTCAAATTTTATTATATTTGTATATTAGTCTTTCCATGAAAGACAGAAGGTCACAGTTTTGTCTGGATGACTCCAATGTTACATGCAAACATCTTATAGTGCAATTCAGCCATACAGTATCAATTGAGTACTGTCTGTGATACTTTTTTTATTTGCACTAACATACAATTTTGAGGACAAGCTTTCAGGGAATGTTCCCTTCTTCAGTACTGCTTCGACCTGAAGAAGGGGACATTCCCCGAAAGCTTGTCCTCAAAATTGTATGTTAGTGCAAATAAAAAAAAGTATCACGGACAGTACTCAATTGTTTCTGTCGCAAATGCACTAATACGGCTACAATCACCTCACTTCAAGCCATACAGTATAAATGTCAAATGTGTCTGCAGTGGACATAATGCCACTGCTGACTAAAAAATGCCATGTATATTATAATGCAATAGCAAAGGGCCATCTCCAAAGCATAATGGCTAAAAATGAACATGAAGGTTACAATGCCATATGTCAATCTCCAATACAGTGACCAAATCTACATGGCGGTTACAGTGTCAAAAACAATCTCCAGTATGATACTTCCAATGCGTTTCAACAATACATCTTCATCAGGGGAAACTGGAGAAGCCCTTACATGTATAGGTAAAGAGATTTATACAAGACGTTGTAATACTGTCAATGACATAACATATTCATAAAAAACATTGGTACATCAATAAACAATGTGATAAACACATACAATAGTTATTCAACTGTGGAGATAATTTCCACTGTTTGAAGGAGTCGCCCTAGGAAACCCACACATCCACTTAATTGGCCAGGGCCTCCAAAGAGCCCAAACACAGGCAAGGCACAATGGGCAGTGCCCATCCACAGCAAAACACTATGAGATTGAAAATATAAATATAACATATAAAGAAAAAGATGGTACCCTCCTAAACAACTATCATAGAAACACTAATAAATCACTGCAAAGTAGTGGTTATCTTTTGTGGGATTTTGAATTCAAATTTCAACGCATGAAAAGCCACAAATAGAGGATTGATATACACACAGGTAAATATCAAATATGTGAAAGCAGAAAACACCACATCCTGCGCTCAGGTACTTAGATCAGAAATAGGTGGATTGATCAACCTCTATGGGAGTTTGACCATCAACAGAGCAAAGGTTGTGCAGCTCTTAAACAAGGCGGCAAAATATATACAGGTGAAACTCAAAGAATTAGAATATTGTGCAAAAGTTCATTTATTTCAGTAATGCAACTTAAAAGGTGAAACTAATATATAAGATAGACTCATTACATGCAAAGCAATATAGTTCAAGCCCTGATTTGTCATAATTGTGATGATTATGGCTTACAGCTCATGAAAACCCCAAATCCACAATCTCAGAAAATTAGAATATTGTGAAAAGGTGCAATATTCTCGGCTCAAAGTGTCCCACTCTAATCAGCTAATTAAGCCATAACACCTGCAAAGGGTTCCTGAGCCTTTAAATGGTCTCTCAGTCTGGTTCAGTAGGAATCACAATCATGGGAAAGACTGCTGACCTGACAGTTGTGCAGAAAACCATCATTGACACCCTCCATAAGGAGGGAAAGCCTCAAAAGGTAATTGCAAAAGAAGTTGGATGTTCCCAAAGTGCTGTATCAAATCACATTAATAGAAAGTTATGTGGAAGGGAAAAGTGTGGAAGAAAAAGGTGCACAAACAGCAGGGATGACCGCAGCCTGAAGAGGATTGTCAGGAAAAGGCCATTCAAAAGTGCTGGGGACTTTCACAAGGAGTGGACTGAGGCTGGAGCCAGTGCATCAAGAGCCACCACACACAGACGGATCCTGGACATGGGCTTCAAATGTTGTATTCCTCTTCTCAAGCCGCTCCTGAACAACAAACAATGCCAGAAGCATCTTACTTGGGTTAAAGAAAAACAGACCTGGTCTGTTGCTCAGTGGTCCAAAGTCCTCTTTTCTGATGAGAGCAACTTTTGCATCTCATTTGGAAACCAAGGACCCAAAGTATGGAGGAAGAATGGAGAGGCACACACTGCAAGATGCTTGAAGTCTAGAGTGAAGTGTCCACAGTCTGTGTTGATTTGGGGAGCCATGTCATCCTCTGGTGTTGGTCCACTGTGCTTCATTAAGTCCAAGGTCAATGCAGCCATCTACCAGGAGATTTTGGAGCACTTCATGCTTCCTTCCACAGATGAGCTTTATGGGGATGCTGACTTCATTTTCCAGCAGGACTTGGCACCTGCCCACATTGCCAAAAGCACTAAAATCTGGTTCAATGACCGTGGGATTACTGTGCTTGATTGGCCAGCAAACTCGCCTGACCTGAACCCCGTAGAGAATCTATGGGGCATTGCCAAGAGAAAGATGAGAGACATGAGACCGAACAATGCAGAAGAGCTGAAGGCCACTATTGAAGCATCCTGGTCTTCCATAACACCTCAGCAGTGCCACAGGCTGATAGCTTCCATGCCATGCTGCATTGAGGCAGTAATTGCTGCAAAAGGGGCCCAAACCAAGTACTGAGTACATATGCATGCTTATACTTTTCAGAGGTCCGATATTGTTCTATGTACAATCCTTGTTTTATTGATTGCATGTAATATCTAATTTTCTGAGATTGTGGATTTGGGGTTTTCATGAGCTGTAAGCCATAATCATCACAATTATGACAAATCACGGCTTGAACTATCTTGCTTTGCATGTAATGAGTCTATCTCATATATTAGTTTCACCTTTTAAGTTGCATTACTGAAATAAATGAACTTTTGCATGATATTCTAATTTTTCGAGTTTCACCTGTATATACATATGTATATATTTATTAATTGATGACAGCCGGTTTTTATAATTTATTATTTATCAATTGTTGTTACTTCACATTATGTGCTCATTACATCATGTGTTTGTTTCATTTATTCTTTTTATGGCCAGTGACTATAATATGGGCATATTTTATCCTTCCAATCAACCAACTGTTTTACTAATACTGTCTTTTATTCTTAAGGGTATTAACATACAAATTTTGTTGATGCCCCTCCCCCCCCCCCCCCACCCACTGCGGTCCATGGATACAGGGTTGGAACTTTCCCCTCGTCTCTCCACTATTGGTATGAGATGGAGGCTTGGTCAATGGCACAGGTGTCTCTATACACTGAAAGTGACGTCTTTTGGGAGCCGAAAGTCGTGGCTGGCACGTATTGTGCAGCCGCCCGTCCCTTCTCCAATAGGCGTGCATTCCATTGATGGATGAGCTTATCTTTGGGGCTCTGGATGGTGGCTGGAACACATAATGCAGGCGCATCCTGTGTGCTGACATTGGTGCGCGTTCCGTCGGCACCTGGAGCCCCCTTGTTGATCCTAGCTGCTCTGTCCCCCCCCATTGTTCATTTTGCTTATTATCGCCCATCTACTCCTAAGAGGCGATACAGAGTCTGTTCACCTCCAATAATCTTGATTTATAATTTCCTGTGAGTAATCCCTATATGCTCCCCAAATGATTCAAACGTTTTTGAAAGTCAGTTTTAACATCATATTATATACTTTTTTTATACATTTATCGATTTCATGAGTACTATCATTACTAATTACAATTTTGTAACCTTATGCATGGTTGTTACTTGTGTACATACATCTGATGTTCCACATTGTTTTTTTTAAAGCATGTTTACTCTTGATATCTATGCCCCACCTCCTTAGCTGTGAGTGTCCAACCCATATGGGAGTGCTCACATTTAGTTTGGTGACATATATAGAAGAGGGCATTCCTAATTTTGTTAGCTGTGATGAAGAGGGGATCTCCCTTCAAAATGTGTCAGCTGTACTCCGAGTGTCTCCCATTTTGGTAGGACTCGCATGTGTCTCGTATTCCAATTTTGGATTTTACATGTGTTTTATACTTCTACATTTGTGAGTATACACCCTATTTTAATAAATTCACATTTTGTTATTGAGGCAATGTGCAAGGTTGGTGCGCTTTCTTTTTTTCTCATTTGAAATATCAAATATGTATCTGAGAGAAAAAAAGAAAGGAGGATGCCATGGAAACTTGTATTAAGAATATATAAATATACACAGAAGTCTGTATGCTAAGAAGTTTTGCATAAAATATAAATTATAAGTTACCTCCTTGTGTATTGCTTCAAAAAGTCTGATTCATGTTGAAAGAGGAAGTGATGTAACGTTCTTTTGCTTCCACTGTGTGATGAGACATATAGATAACAGGTGGGAAGCCTCATTTTGATCATTCACTGCGCACTTTGCTAGTAATACGGGATCATGTCAGAGCTTACTGAGGGCTGATTGTTGGTGCCCGCTTAACTGATGCCCCTGTGGCTAAAGTTTCCAATTTATTTGCCATGTCACAAGGTACAGTATCATAGGTTATGACAGCATATACAGTTTCTGGGGAAACGTCATTTGGTAATCATAAGCGTGGTTGATATGGTCAACTGACCAAAAGAGATAAAAGGACATTGCGCCTGATTGTGACCCAGAATAAGGAAACAACTGCTGCAAAAGTGACTGCAGAGCTCAATCTCAGTCCCATGTAGCTAAAGAAGAGAAGGGGTCTGAAGACAGAGCCTTGGGGAACCCCTATGGAAAGAGGAAAGGAAGAGGAAAATATGTGTTGTAATTAATACTGAAACATTTCCTAGGCTGGAAGAGAACTAAGACAGAGTCTTGGATGCCAAGGGAGTGAAGTTTTTTTGTGTGGGAGCAGATGGTTAACTGTAAGGGTGTTGAGAAAGTTGCTATTAATGGGGTAATAGCTCAGATACTTGTAGACTTTGGGGGGGGGGGGAGATTTACTAAAACTGGAGCACACAGAATCTACTGCAGCTGCACATATTAACCAATCAGCTTCTAACTTCAGCATGATCAAGTAAGCTTTGTCCATAAAACTTAGAAGCTGATTGGTTACTATGTACTAATGCAGCAGATTCTGTGTGCTCCAGTTTTAACAAATCCCCCCCCCCCAGGTGTTCTAGAAGTATGATGGTACACTGGAGCAAGTAAATAAGTCTTCAGTTGTTCATACTGCTGAGGTCCTGTGAGTATTTTTTAAGTATGAAGGTGATCAGTGCATGTTTTAAAAAGGAGGGGAAGATGCTAATATTCACATTGCCTTAGTCGTTAACAATTTTGCTTTGAAGTACTGGGCTTCCTGGTTCAACTCCTGGTTGGGACACTGTCTGCATGGAGTTTGCATGTACTGTGTATGCTTTTGTGGGTTTCCACTGGGTAGTCTAGTTTCCTCCCACATTTCAAGGATTAAGGTAGGTTAATTAGCTCCTGCCCAACCTGACCCTAGCATGTGCATGTATGTACTGTATGTGAGAAATAGACCTTACATTGTAAGCTTCTTGAGGGTAGGTGACTAATAAGAATGTACAGTATGCAAATAACTGTGTAAATTGTCAATGCTATACCTATGTACCTTTAATAAATGTAATACATCTAAGTACATGTGACAATAGTTTTCTATATGTTTTTTTTTTTTAATATTCAAGAACAAGGACAGAATTGCACATCTCCACCGATTGTTACATATGGAGAAGTAAAAGGAATAACACAGGAACAATACACTTCTGGCTCTATATTGGAATATCAATGTACAAAATTATATAAAGCTCTGGGAAGTTTGGAAATTACTTGCAGAAATGGACTTTGGACAGAGCCACCAGTTTGCCTAGGTGAGATTAGAAGAAAATGTTTTTACCATTTTAAAGCTGAGCTCTTTACAGATATAAAAGACAAATTCATGCAGCTCTGGATTCATTATTAAATCATTTCATGTGTTTTTTTTTATGCGTACTGTGTAAGTACTTGAATGTAACCTTGTATCATCTATGTTGCAGTCCCCTTTACTGCAGAGACTAGGCTGGGAAAATGGAAAGAAGCACATGGAGCCAATTTTTGCTGCAGTGCTCATGGGTTAGCAAAGGTTATGGTGATCAGTGGGAAGAGCAGTGTGATGTAAGAATGAACTCGACAGCTGCTTCTAGTTTCACTTTCCAGTCAATGCTAAAGGATGGAAAAGACCTGTAAGTGTTACTTAATTGCAACATGGAAAAGTCAGGTCAACTGCATGCTACACAGGACTGTGCTGTGTGTTACAGCTGTGTAAATCTCAGAATTGTAAGGACAAAATGACAAACCCTTTGGCAGGTAAAACAATTGCTCAATTTGTATTTCATCTGTGTATGATGTGCTCCTGGAGTTCATCTTTAAATTATTGTGAAAAGTAATTCATTGAAGAAGATTGCGGATAGAAAGCTTGTATTTGGAAATTTTGGAGCTGACTTTTTATAGCACTGATTTTAGAGGTGATAATTGGTTATTTCAAACTGTTAAGTGGAAAACCATCTACATGAACATTCAAGTGGTTGTAAACCTCAGTCTTGAAATCTGAACAGAGCAGTTATCTGTAGTTATACAAGAAAAACTATTCTGCGCCAAAACTTTCCAAATAACACTCTAAAAATGCTGCTGTGCCAATCGTGAAAACACAAACAATATAAATATAAATAAACAGCGCAAATTTAGATAATTAATCAATATAATAAATCATTAAAATAAGTGCATAAATTATTCGTGTTTCCCCTTAATAATGAACAAAAACACCCAAAAGTCCATGTGAGAAGACATAATTGAATTGTAAAAATAAAAATAAAAAATAAAAAAAATATATATATAAAAAAAATGAAAGTGCCCACTTCTTTTCTTCAAAAAATATTTTCACCTTCCACCAGTGCACACACCAACATTGAATACACTCACCAGAACTTGGTGAGTAAAAGACCTTTAAGGAATTTTAGGGATCCTAAACCCTCTTTGGTGCCACGCTAGGGAAAATCTTCACCCTCCGAATAGACTCCACCATCCAACCAAAAGAAAAAAACTCACATAGCATAATATTGTCACACAATGGTAACTTATTCCAAATCGAGATTAAGGCCACTCACATGTTAATCACTTGCTAAAGGCATGTTTATTATGTATAACAGGCTTCAGTTCCAGCAGATATACAACCTTTTCCTTCCAGGACTCTCACATCCACAATGGAACAAGGACAAAACTCCTCTTAGACCAAACAGTGAACCAAGATGGCCGCTGGAATGCACCGCTCCGCGTGCGTTCCACTCACCGGAAATGACGTCAGGCGCATAGAGTGTGTGGACAGTCTATGCGCCTGACGTCATTTCCGGTGAGTGGAACGCACGCGGAGCGGTGCGTTCCAGCGGCCATCTTGGTTCACTGTTTGGTCTAAGAGGAGTTTTGTCCTTGTTCCATTGTGGATGTGAGAGTCCTGGAAGGAAAAGGTTGTATATCTGCTGGAACTGAAGCCTGTTATACATAATAAACATGCCTTTAGCAAGTGATTAACATGTGAGTGGCCTTAATCTCGATTTGGAATAAGTTACCATTGTGTGACAATATTATGCTATTTGAGTTTTTTTCTTTTGGTTGGATGGTGGAGTCTATTCGGAGGGTGAAGATTTTCCCTAGCGTGGCACCAAAGAGGGTTTAGGATCCCTAAAATTCCTTAAAGGTCTTTTACTCACCAAGTTCTGGTGAGTGTATTCAATGTTGGTGTGTGCACTGGTGGAAGGTGAAAATATTTTTTGAAGAAAAGAAGTGGGCACTTTCATTTTTTTATATATATTTTTTTTATTTTTTATTTTTATTTTTACAATTCAATTATGTCTTCAGCACATGGACTTTTGGGTGTTTCAGTTATCTGTAGTGTTTATTTCTCTCTCTCCAAAACTCTAAGTGTTGTATCTTTCTGGCACTTTGTTCCTTTGTTATCAGCATGTGTCACTTCTAACAGGTTTCCCCAGGAGATAAATTTGTGTCAGCTCCTGTGTGCTGTGTGGAGGGGGCTGTGTCTCTTTCCTCCAATCAGCTCTCACAGAGCTCTAACTGCAGCTCCCTGGCCCCTTCTCTGTGATACTGAGAAATACAGGATTTTACCTAAAATCAGTACTTTTAAAGGGATGTACAAAAGAGATGACAGCAAATAAACAACTTATGTAGGGGGATTTGTTTCACCTCTGTGTATCATCTGAGGTTATTCACTTCACTGAGTCTGTGAGATTGTTTACAACCACTTTAAATTAGAACTATAGGCAAAACTTTTTTTTTCCAATTTGGATAGAGCAAGGAAGGGTTATAACTCCTGTCAGATATACAAGCAAAGCAAAATATACAAAATAACATATTAAAAATATAAATGCATAAAAAATTAGCAGTGGCTTGAGATAACATAACTGCCAGTTTGGAAATGTGTTTCATATTGAGTCATGATTGAATAACCTTACCCTTGCATAGAATGAGTAAAAGGTTACAATTGTGCTTCCAGTGATCAAGAAAGCATTGCCTTCATGCATGTTACAAAAAGCCTAAAATTTCCCAGTGCTACCAGAGAAGGTTTACATGTATGCCATTCATCACAGATCATTCATTCTTGGATGGTATTTTTCTGTTTGTTTTTTGTTGAAGATTCTTCAGTGTCACATTTCTTGGAGCAAGAAAAGTTAGGTGGTGTTATCAGACTATTATTGGAGTCAGTTTTTTTCATTGTGATTACTGTATTTTTCACTCCATAAAACGCATCCCCCCCCCAAAAAAAAAATGGGTGAAAATGTCTTATGGAGCGAATATGGAGCAGTAGGCCCGGTATTCCCGCTGCTGCCGTGTTACATTACAGTGGAGATCTCGTCACAAATTGTATTCTTATTTTTTAAGTGATTAGCGATCTCCTGGGAAGTGAGTGAGTTAGTGAGTGGAGGTAGAGAAGGATGAAGTAGAGAGGTAAAGGTAGAAAAGAGTTGACGGGGATTGCGTGAGAGAGTGTTAATGAGAGTGATAAAATAGGTCTGTTTGGCAGTGTGGAGACAAGAACTGTATTTTTGAAGGGCAGATTTGTGTTGGTTGAAGTCTTGCTGGGTCTTAGTCTTACACCATAAATGCTCAAAAGCACAGCCATGTTTTTTGAGGCATCTGGTACAGTCTGTTTGCCAGGGCCGTAGCGGTCGGGGCCTAATTCTGTGTGTAGTGAGTGGGCCAATGTGTCCAGGGTGGATGACATTGAACTATTGGAGACAGAAGTGGCCAGGTTGGGGCAGGACAGGGCTGAGATTTTGTCATAGAGACAATCTGTTGCCGAAAAAAGAAGAGAAGGGTTAAGACTTCCATAAAAATAATGCACTTGCTCATATTTTATCTTATGTAACGTGTATATCTTAGGTAATGTGTACATCAGAGGTGACATTGTGTTAATATGTTATTTATGATCTGTTTACAGAGCCGTGCACGGTGGGGCAAAGGGAACTGTTCAATAATAATATTCAGCTAAAGAATTTTATAACAGAAAAACAATATTTTGAACATGGCAGAATAATTGAGTTTTTGTGCTTACCCGGATACCAGCTAGAGACATCTCCCTCAACATTAACAACTAAATGTGAAAGAGGAAAATTAATCTACCCTACGTGTGCAAAGAAAGTTTCTGGTAAGTCATAGCTTTACCTGATAGTTTTAATTTTCTGAGATTGTGGATTTGGAGTTTTCATAAGCTGTAAGCCATAATCATCACAATTATGACAAATCATGGCTTGAACTATCTTGCTTTGCATGTAACGAGTCTATCTCATATATTAGTTTCACCTTTTAAGTTGCATTACGGAAATAAATTAACTTTTGCACGATATTCTAATTTTTCGAGTTTCACCTGTGTATATATATATATATATATATATATATATACACACACAATATTGCCAAAAGTATTGGGATGCCTACCTTTCCATGCACATGAACTTTACTGACCTCCCAGTCTTAGTCTGTAGGGTTCAGTATTGAGTTGGCCCACCATTTGCAGCTATAACTCTTCTGGGAAGGCTGTCCACAATGTTTAGGAGTGTGTCTGTGGAAATGTTTGACCATTCTTCCAGAAGTGCATTTGTGAGGTCAGGCATTGATGTTGGACGAGAAGGCCTGGCTTGCAGTCTTTGCTCTAATTCATCCCAAAGGTTTTCTATTGTGTTGAGTTGAGGACTTTGTGCAGGCCAGTCAAGATCCTCCACCCTAAACGCTCATTTTATTTTTTATTTATTACAGGTGATTACAGTATATAGCGCTGTCAATTTATGCAGCACTTTACATATATATTGTACATTCACATCAGGCCCTAACCCTCAAGGGGTGTACAACCTAAGGTCCCTTACTCACATTCATATATACACATACTAGGGCCAATTTAGACATGATCCAATTAACCTACCAGCATGCCTTTGTAATGTAGGAGGAAACTGAAGTACCTGCAGGAATCTCATGCAGGCACAAGGAGAACATGCAAACTCCAGGCAGATGGTGCAGTGGTTGGGATTCAAATCAACGATCATAGTACTGCCAGGCTCAAGTGCAAACCCTTTAGCCACTGTGCTGTCCACACATTCATGTCTTTATGGACCTTGCTTTGTGCACTGGTGCACAGTCATGTTGAAACGGGAAGGGGCCATCCCCAAACTGTTCCCACAAAGTTGGGAACATGAAATTGTCCAAAATGTCTTTGTATGCTGACACCTTAAGAGTTCCCTTCACTGGAACTAAGGGGCCAAGCCCAACTCCTGAAAAGCAATCCCACACCATAATCCCCCCTCCAAACTTTACACTTGCACAATGCAGTCAGGCAAGTACCGTTTTCCTGGCAACCGCCAAACCCAGACACACCCTTTGGATCGCCAGACAGAGAACACGTCTCAACTGCTCTAGAGTCCAGTGGCAGTGTGCTTTACACCACTGCATCTGACGCTTTGCATTGCACTTGGTCGTGTAAGGCTTGGTTGCAGCTGCTTGGCCATGGAAACGCATTCCATGAAGCTCTTCAGCATGCGCTGACCCCGCTCTGTCATTTTATGTTGCCTACCACTTCATGGCTGAGTTGCTGTTGTTCCCAGTTGCTTCCAATTTGTTATAATACTACTAACAGTTGAGTGTGGAATATTTAGTAGCAAGGAAATTTCACAGATGGACTTATTGCACAGGTAACAACCTATCACGGTGCCACGCTTGAATTCACTGAGCTCCTGAGAGTGACCCATTCTTTCACAAATATTTGTAGAAGCAGTCTGCATGCCTCGGTGCTTGATTTTATACACCTGTGGTCATGGAGGTGATTGGAACACCTGAAGCCAATGATTTTGAGGGGTGTCCCACTTTTGGCAATATAGTGTATAAACAGCCCTCAAAATTTCCGCTCACATTTGGCAAGTGAAAATAACGTGGGGGCAAGTAATTGAGTTCTCTCTCTGCAGGCCGGACTGCTCTCTTTGTCGGTGGGCGGGATGGCAAATGGGACAGGAGAGGGGGTGGTCTAAACACTGATTATGGTGAGCTGTCACTGGGCAGCCTGCTGTCAGGACAGCCCTTCTCTCTTGATAGGAGAATATGAAGCCAAAGCCCTTCTCCCTCTCTGCTTCCCTGCCAAGGAAAACATGCTGTTACGGCTCCGACCTCTGCTGACTTCACTCACATTCCAACTACTGTCGGTAAATACAGAAAACTTGTAGCTTGCATATCCTGCTGTGTTCCCTGTACCATTCTGTGTGTCCTGTGCCGTGCTGTGTGCCCTGTACCATGTTGTGTACCCTCCTGTGTGCCTTGTACCCTCCTGTGTGCCCTGTACCCTGCTGTGTGCCCTGCTGTGTACCCTGTACCCTGCTGTGTGCCCTGTACCCTGCTGTGTGCCCTGTACCCTGCTGTGTGCCCTGTACCATTATCAGTGAGTTTGTCAGTGGGGGGAGGGGGGGGGTGGTAATTGGGGGGTCAAGTCTGTCAGTGGGGGACTGGTGGAGGACATGAGATGGAGGAGATGGTACTGGAAGAGGACGTGGGATTGAGGAGATGGGATTGGAAGACGAGGAGGACATGTGATGAAGGAGATGACACTGGAGGAGGAGGACATGGAAGATGGGATGGCAGGAGAAGGAGGAAATGGGATGGAGAAGGAGGAGGATGGAGGAGATGTTTACATTGCTTTATGTTAATATTGTTAAAGCTGTGGTTGTTAATATTTATTTTTGTAACCTTATTTTACATAAAACATTTAACAGTGTCATTTCATGAGATAATTTATGAGGGAGTGTTTATGGGTGGAATTAGGGGTGGGGGAGGGGTGGAATTATGGGCAAGGAAGGGCTGGGGTTGGGTGGGTCAACTGGTGGCAAGTAACCCTTAAGGCCTGACAAAACTGAGTTGTATAGAACATTTATTTAGCTCATTACATAAAAGTAAGGTTAATAATATAACTTAGATTACAAAATCTTCAGTTTTACTCAAATTAGTTGATGTAATAATGAATCCACCCCACAACAAAAACTCCTCCATCTAGTATTTTGTATGACCTCCATGATTTGTAAGGGCAGCACCAAGTCTTCAAGAACGACCTCTTTTAGAGCCTGGATACTGGATGGAGACTGATGCTCAACTTGTCTCTTCAGAATTCCCCATAGGTGTTCGGTTGGGTTCAGGTCAGGAGGCATACTTGGCCACTAAATCACTTTCACCCTGTTCTTCTTCAGAAATGCAATAATGGCCTTAGATGTGTGTTTTGGATCATTGTTATGCTGAAAAAGTGCACGACAGCCAAGGGCACAGAGTGATGGTAGCATCTTCTCTTTTAATACAGAGAAGTACATCTCTGAATTCATGATACCATCAATGAAATGCAGCTCCCCAACACCAGCAGCACTCATGCAGCCCCACAGAAGGACAGTGCCACCACCATGTTTCACTGTAGGCACCATGCAATTTTCTTTGCACTCCTCACCTTTGCAACGCCATACAGTTTTGAAGCCATCAGTTCCAAAAACATTTATATTGGTCTCATCACTCCAGAGTACAGAGTCCCAGTAGTCTTCTTTTAAGGAAGAATTAGAGCGGAGACTACAAGCCAGGCCTTTTCCTCCGACATCAGTGTCTGAACGCACAATTGCGCTTCTGGAAGAATGGTCAAACATTCCCATAGACACACTCCTAAACCTTGTTGACAGCCTTCCCAGAAGAGTTGAAGCTGTTATAGCTGCAAAGGGTGGGCCAACTCAATACTGAATCCTACGGACTATGACTGGGATGCCATTAAAGTTCATGTGTGTGTGTAAAGACACACACACATATTGTAAGATCAGGGGTATAACCACAGCAATAATATACACGCAAAGCTGTTTAAAATGTCTTTATTTTCCTTAAGGCAAGCAAAAACAGAGCTTCCAGCAGCAAACGAAAATGGCTTAAAGAGGAGCTCCAGTCTCCCTCCAAAAAATTAAAAGTCAGCAGCTGCAAATATGGTAACTGCTGTCTTTTAATATAAGGACACTTACCTGTCCAGGGTTCCAGCAATGTCCTCACCCGAGTGGATTCTTCAAGCAGCTTCAGGTACAGGCACTGGTATATTTGGTAAGGGAAACCAAAAGTTGCGCTGTGCTTTGTGAATGATCCCATAGTCTTCTGGGACTTGTGATGTGTCCCAGAAGGCTTCAGGGAGAAGGAGGAGGGGGCCGAACATTGCCACGGCAATCTGAATAGAAGCAGGAGCAGGTACCTTTGAAAACCAGGTACTCGCTCTCCCCTCCCTCCCCCCAAAAACTGCCAAAAGTGGCAATGGAAAGGGGAGGATGCAACAATTGGAACATCCCCTTTTGGATGAAGTTCTGCTTCAGCAATACAAAATAAAGTCCACTTATTTTCAGCAATACAAAATAAAGTCCGCTTATTTTCAGCACAAATTAAGCATAAGACATGCAAAGTTATGTAAGGGATTTTCCCAAAGTAAAGAAAGTCCAATTAGATTGCAAGTTATCTTGTTTTGATTGTATTGTAGCTGTACTGTCTCCTTTTACATTGTAAAGCACTGCGAAAACTGTTGTCGCTAAATAAGTCCTGTATAGTAATAATAATAATAATAATATTAATTCAGTTATATTTGGGGAACTTCCAGTATGTATGCAGCACTCAGGTGTTTCCTCTCCCAAACTCCAACTACTCTTGAGTACACTAACTGCACCAACCATTTCCTTTAAATGGACTATAGCCAAAATATGGGTGAAACATTAGACCCATTATTTTATTTGTGATATATTATGCTATTATGTCTCTTAGCGCTACTGAAGGGGGATTTGTGATCCACCAAAACACTTTGGAAATACCTTTTGACCCTTACAAAAAATTGTACTGGACTGATGCTTGATTTGTGTCACTCTCATCCATTTATATCAGAGTTTGGCAATTAATTTTCCCAAGGGGCCACATGAGAAACTGGGACTGTTGTGAAAGGCCGAACTTAGTTCTGCTCAATATTATTTCTGGACCTAGGAAGGTCGGTAAGTATGTAAATATATAGAAAACAACACCTGGTGCTTGGAATAATAGGTTCAAAATAGTTCATGAAATAGGTTAAAAAAGGAGGCAGAGCTATGGCTTTACTTCCTCCAGCCGCCCATGCAAACTGTAATATTACAGTCGGTCAGGGCTATCCACATGCAGTGGCCTCAATGCTTTGCTTCACAGCCACAGCATTTTTGACTCAGAGTGCAGAGTTTGACAAGTGGCACCACTTGCGAAACTTTCCCAGTAAATACAATGGGCCATGCCACAACACATGCAATGCATGCGATTGCAGCATGGTAGTGCAGCATCATAGAGTTAAATCAAGTGGTGAGGAGACAATATACCACCTCCTCACTGCCTGTCAAATGCCCTCTGAAAAGCACTGTGACTGAAAGCAGAGAGCCTGAGCTTGGTAAAGCTGGGATTTCTATAGATCTTGACCTGAAGTGAAGAGTGGAGTTTGCAGTGTGCAGGAGCTAACACAGGAAGAACTTGATTGAGTAACAGAGTGGCAGAAAAGTGTCGGTAAGTCTCCTAGGCAATGCTCTCCCGCCAGAACTGAGCATCCCTGTTGTGCCCATCAGCTCCTCAGGCTCTCTCCTTCCAGTTCTTGCACCTCTCCACATGAACATCTGTTGGCGTGTCTCTCTGAGCCTGTTAGCTTCAGCTGACAGGTTTAGAGAGTTATGCTGACACTAGAGGCAGCGAGGCTTGAATAGGGACAGGCAAAGGGCTGGATGTGGCTCTGGGGCTGCAATTTGCCCATGGTATATTGAGATATACTGTATATACAGTTGTGTTCAAAATAATAGCAGTGTGTTGAAAAAAGTGAATAAAGCTCAAAATCCTTCTAATAGCTTTTATTTCCATACACACAAATGCATTGGGAACACTACACATTCTATTCCAAATCAAAACATGAAGAAAAATATATCAAATTTGTGTTGTTCCTCTAAAAAATTGAAGAAAAGTGAATATTAGATGTTCAAAAAATAGCAGTGTTTGTATTCTTCTTTACAAACTCAAACATTCACGATATAAACTGAAAAATGTTTGAAGATTTTGCTTTCCTTTGAATCACTTAATGAATATTTAGTTGTATAAGCACTGTTTCTGAGAACTGCTGTACATCTGTGTTGCATGGAGTCAACCAACTTCTGGCACCTGTGAACAGGTATTCCAGCCCAGGATGATTGGACTACATTCCACAGTTCTTCTCTATTTCTTGGTTTTGCCTCAGAAACTGCATTTTTGATGCCACCCCACAAGTTTTCTATTGGATTAAGATCCGGGGATTGGGCTGGCCACTCCATAATGTCAATCTTGTTGGTCTGGAACCAAGAAGTTGCACGTTTACTGGTGTGTTTGGGGTCGTTGTCTTGTTGGAACACCCATTTCAAGGGCATTTCCTCTTCAGCATAAGGCAGCATGACCTCTTCAAGTATTCTGATGTATTCAAACTGATCCATGATCCCTGGTATGCGATAAATAGGCCCAACACCGTAGTATGAGAAACATCCCCATATCATGATGCTTGCGCAACCATGCTTCACTGTCTTCACAGTGTACTGTGGCTTGAATTCAGTGTTTGGGGGTCATCTGACAAACTGTCTCCGGCCACTAGACCCAAAAAGAACAATCTTACTTTCATCAGTCCACAAAATGTTGCGCCATTTCTCTTTAGGCCAGTCAATGTGCTCTTTGGCAAATTGTAATCTCTTCAGCACGTCTTTTTTTCAACAGTGGTACTTTGCGGGGGCTTCTTGCAGATAACTTGGCTTCACATAGGTGTCTTCTAATTGTAACAGTACTCACAGGTAACTTTAGACCTTCTTTGATCTTCCTGGAGCTGATTGTTGGCTGAGTCCTTGCCATTTTGGCTATTCTTCTATCCATTCGAATGGTAGTTTTTCACTTTCTTCCACGTCTTTCAGGTTTTGGTTGCCATTTTAAAGCATTTGTGATCATTTTAGCTGAGCAGCCTATCATTTTCTGCACTTCTTTATATGTTTTTCCCTCTCCAATCAACTTTTTTAATCAAGGTACGCTGTTTTTCTGAACAATGTCTGGAGCAACCCATTTTCCTCAGAATTTCAGAGAGAAATGCACTGTAACCAGCATGTACAACATTTGCTGCCTTCCTTCCGTAAATAAGGGCAATAATTGCCACCTGTTTTTCAAAGAATGAATGACCTCACTAATAGAACTCCACACTGCTATTATTTTGAACATGCCCCTTTCAATTAGTGATTCAATTACACAGAATCAGCAGCATGCATGTCATGACTGTTGGGTCTGTTGGATTTCTATTACTCTACTACACCTGCTAGTAAATTATTTGCCATGTAGAAATATCATTTCTACTAAAAACAGTGATTGATCAGGTTAGTGATGTCTGACTGCTATTATTTTGAACACAACTGTATATATATTCTTTCCTGTATGGCTGTTTCACATCTTTTTTGCTTAGTGTACTTTTCTAAAATGACCATTCACACCTTTGTGTGTGTTTGTTACCATGTGTGCTGCAACACACATGGACATAGGTATAAAATGGTCTTTTTTTGCTTTTTTTTGGCTCAGCTACAGTTTTTTGTGTTAACACTTATGAAAATTGCACATTTTAGACTGTTTACATGAAAGTAATCATTTCACTTTAAGTTACATGTCTTATGGTGCAGATAATAGGATAAACATCTCATTTCAGATGGCTGTGCAATATCAAAAGAAGTCATGTTGAAAAATGGAATTAATTTGAACAATGCCTCTTTGAATGTTGCTGAGGGATTTACTGTGGAATTTCAATGTGTTGGAAATCTGGTTCCTGAAAGGACACTTACAGCAAAGTGCAATGAAGGTGAAATAGTATATCCTCAGTGCATCGAGCAAAGTAAGTATGTTGTCTAAATGTTTTGTATTAACCCAAACATTTTCCTGTTCCAGCAGTCCTGCAGAGGGTCTGAATATGAATGTGCAGTACAATAAGCACAATTAGAAATAGTACACTCAGTAATCACATGGGGGGAGGCTGTTCTTAATTTGGTGGGTTGCTTTGGGAGCCCAAGAGCAGTTACTGTATCTCTTGCTGTGGGACAACATAGAATGAACCAGTCCAGGACGTTCTTGTTTGGTTTAATAATCTCGCATGATTTGTCCCTGACCATCAGCATATTGCAGTTGGGCTACAATTAAAATTTTTTAGTGATCACTATATATGTTCAACAGATCCCTTGCAAAAAATATGTACTATATTGGTGCTCAAGGACCAACTGTATGTCTCTTATAGTCTCCTCTGGCTATGGAAAAGAGTTTCTGGTTCATAGTGTACGTGGTTGGAACACCTGACACATACAGTACATACAGTACCTCCTGTATCTCCTAATGAAAAAGATCTATGATATGGGAATCTCATTAAGAATTATGGTAAACTCATTAAGAATTATCATCATCCCACTGCAACAAAAGACATCAACTTAATAGGAACAATCATCTTGCACTTGAATATAAAGAGATTTCAACTCGCTGGTTCAGTGGGTAGTACCTATGGAGGTAGTACCTACTGAACTAGAAATATGATATATTAGAACATCTGAGGTATGCAACAATAGGAAACTTTTTCTTCATGTAATTTAATATTTATTAATAAAATATGTTTGGATATATTGGTTTAGAATGATTATATGTCAACAAGGCAACTAAAAGTTCCATGTATACATGCAGTATATAAATTTGAGGTAATAATATAATAAACTCAGTAATCAGCTCTCAGAAACAGAACTGGTCTGACACACTCCCTGGCTTTCTCTGAAGTACCAGTCTGTGTGCGGACATTTGTGATGTGGCCATTACTCAACTATGTCAGACCAGGCCACTTGAGTATAAGAGCAGGAAATAGTGTTTTCATTGAAAGAAAAACACTTCAAGACTAGACAGTTTCAACCCCTTCCTGCCCAGGCCATTTTGAAACAGATAGTGCTATCTTTTGGTGATATTTATTCATTGCAGAGTTTTTTTTATTTTTTGCTATATAAATTAAAAAAATACCAAAACATGGGGAACAAATGTCTTAGTTTATGTTATAACATTTTGCAAATAAATAATCTTTCTTCATACATTTAGGCTAAAATGTATCCTATGTATCCTGCTACACTTTGGTAAAAATAACCCAAATCAGTGTATTTTATTTTGTCTGTGTGAAAGTTATCGAGTCTACAAACTTTGGTATATCCATCATATTTGAAAACTGATTAATCCTGCGGTACTAACTACCTCATTTCTTGAGGCCCTAAAATTCCAGGACAGTACAAAAAAACCCACAAATGACCCCTTTTGGGAAAGTAGACAGTCCAAGGTATTTAATGTACTCTCCAGCGCCTCAGGATATGCACAGCCAAAAGGGAAGCCAAGGGAACCAGGACAGAGACAACCAAAGGAAATGCTTAAGGGGTGCAGCCCTCCTCAGACGGGGAGATCAGCCACTGGATAGAGAGAAAACAGGTGACGCACACACCTAGTTCATTATTTAGGGTTTATTGGAGGGAGTGAAAAATAAAAACATACTCACAGACGAAGCATGTATCTGAAAAGAATTTGCATAAAGACAATGGCCACAACGGCAAGCAAGGTGTTCCAACTGTCAGTGCGGTCAAATGGCTGACGCGTTTCGGGGACGAATCCCTTTCCTCAGAGCTACTGACCAGCCTGTATGACGGTCAAGCGGTAAATCACCAGGGCTAAATGCCTTGGGAGCAAAGCTCCACCTCCTCTACTTGTTATAAGGCGTGGGGTTGGAGGGGGTTATTTAAAGGGCAATAGTTTGTAATTTCTATAAACGCATATACATAAATATATACACATATACATAGATACATACATGCACTGAAAGAGAAAGCAAATAAAAAATTAAATATAAAATTAAAATATACATGAATACATCATCTGCAAATGTAGATAAAAAAAAATAAATATAAAAATAATCGTAGCAATAACACTGTCACACTCATCTTTATGCCTCCTTATCACTCTTTAGTTCAGTCCCTTTGTTCCAGAGGCCATCCCTGCCATTATCACCACAACACCACATTCACCCCCTCCAACTATCCTTCAGCTGTGCTGACTCCAGTCCCTTCTTCCCCCCTGGGAGGAGCCTTGCAGTCACTGCACGTGTTGATGTTTTGTTCTAGGGATGCCAGGTGTGATATCATCCGGAGTTTACTTCCGTTCTCGTGGCTTGCGTTCCAGCAGCCATTTCCCCACAGGCATAACGCACACTCCCACACCATCCCACTCAGGCATCACCAGCAAGGCTCCCATCATCCATTCAATACACATCTGCATCAGAGGTATCTACACCATATTCATATGTCTTATCAACTCGCAAAACCATTGCCTCCTAAAGGTCATTCATTTACCCATAGACACACTTTTTATTTCATCTCTTTTACTGTCCCCATTTTTCCTTTTTTTTTTTCACATAATATCACAATGTTACTATGCAGGACTTGTGTAGCACCGACAGTTTGCTCGGCGCTTTAAATTTCAATAAATATATATAGTCTTCAGCTACACTTGATACTTTGATCATCTACTATCCACTAGTCTTATGACTTTCATTTTTATGATTTTTACTAATATTATTATTTTTACCTCAATTTTTATCATTGTTGCCAGTGTTATTGCTACGATTATTTTTATATTCATTTTTATTTATCTACATTTGCAGATGATGTATTCATGTATATTTAATTTTTTATTCACTTTCACTTTCAGTGCATGTATGTATATGTGTATGTGCATGTGTATATATTTATGTATATGCGTTTATAGAAATGACAAAATATTGCACTTTAAATAACCCCCTCCAACCCCTCGCCTTATAACAAGTAGAGGAGGTGGAGCTTTGCTCCCAAGGCATTTAGCCCTGGTTATTTACCGCTTGACCTTCATACAGGCTGGTCAGTAGCTCTGAGGAAGGGGATTCAACCCCGAAACGCGTCAGCCATTTGACCGCACTGACAGTTGGAACACCTTGCTTGCCATTGTGGCCATCGTCTATATGCAAATACTTTACAGATACATGCTTCGTCTGTGAGTATGTTTTTATTTTTCACTCCCTTCAATAAACCTTGGACTAGGTGTGTGCACCGCCTGTGTTTTCTCTACTCAGTCCAAGGTATTTAATAAAAGGCAAAATTAATAAATGTCAGAATTTTTTGGAAAATAAAGAAATTAAATATTAATCAAGTTATTTTGCACACACAGCATAGGCAAACTTATGATTACACCCCAAAACACATTCTACTATGCCTCCCGAGTACGGGAACACCACATGCATGTAACCCCCCTTCCATCCTTCTCTTGCTAAAGAAAATAAAAAAAAAAAATCAATTCCCCCCCATCCACCTTAATCAATTTCCTCACTGAGCTACTGTATTCCACCATCAGGACTAGTCCGCTCCCAGAATACACTGATCAGTGCTTCAGCTGATTGATTGCAAGTACTGATTGAGGGAAAATGTACTGACAGTCACATTTGTGAAGAGCTGATCACTAGATCAACTCCTCTTAAATAGAAATGGTCATAGATTTAAATTTGGCCAGATCCTGCTGAACCATCTGAATTTCGATCCATGTATGGCCAGCTTATCCCTTAAGAGGAACCTTCTTCCCAGACTAATCCCTTAGTACAGCCCCTTAGTACAGACCCTACCAGTACATACCCTCCTTCAAACTTAACCTCTTAGTATAGACCCACCCAGTACACACCCCAGTACAGACGCCCCAGTACAGAACCCCTATCCAGCATAACCCATCAGTACAGACCCCCTTCCAGCTCAACCACTCAGTACAAACCCTTTCCCATTCTAACCCTTCAGTATAGACCCCCTACTACAGACCATTCCCTCTTGTACAGTTCCTCCTCCAGCCCTAACCCTCTAGTACAGACCCCCCTTCCTGCCTACTCCCTCGGTACAGACCCTCCCCTTTCAGCCCAACCCCTCCTACAGACCCCCCTTCATCCTAATCCCTTAGTCCCCAATTACAGGCACCTCCCCCAGTAGAGACTCCTCTCCCAGCCTAACCTCTTAGCATAGTACAGCCACCCAGTACAGACAGCACCAGTACACCCCCCCAGTACAGATCAAATCATTACAGACACCAGCCCACTACAGACCCTCTCTTCCAGCCTAATCCCTCAGTACTCACCCTATTAATTTTTTAGGTCTTATGAGCAGAGCCCTCTTATCCTCTTGTATTTTATTGTAATTGTAACTGTATTGTCTCCCTTTAGATTGTAAAGCACTGTGCAAACTGTTGGCACTATATACATCTTGTATAAATAACAATAATGATAATACAGACCCTCTCAGTACAGACACCCTCGTTACAGTCCTCCTTCAGTACAGATACCTCCAATAAGACTCCCCTCATTATAGAACTACCCAGTACAGATAACCCCAGTGCAGACCCTCTTTGTACAGTCAACCTCTAGTACAGACCCCCCCCCAGTACATACACCCCTAGTACAAACCCCCAGTACAGTACCCACTTAGTACAGACACCCTCCAGTATGTGCTCCCCCTCAGTATAGAGACCGCTTAGTACAGACCACCAAGCACAGACGTCCCAGTACAGACACCACAGAGTACAAACTCCCCTCCTTACCCAGTACTGACCCTCTCTCAGTGCAGACAAAACCCCAGTATAGATCCACAATACACAATTAAACAGTTACATAGTTAGTCTGGCCGAAAAAAGACAAACGTCCATCAAGTTCAACCATTAAAAAAAAAAAAAAAGTTCTTACACCCACAGTTGATCCAGAGGAATGCAAAAAACCCAGCAAAACATGATCCAATTGACTCCTGCAGGGGGAAAAAATTCCTTCCTGATCCCCCAAGAGGCAATCGGATATTCCCTGGAGAACTTTACCTATAAAATGTTAGTATCCAGTTATATTCTGTGTATCCAAGAAAGAATCCAGGCCTTTTTTTAAAGCAATCCACTGAACTTGCCAGAACCAACTCATGAGGGAATCTATTCCACATTTTCACAGCTCTTACTGTGAAGAAACCTTTCCATGTTTGGAAATTTAAATTTCTTTTCCTCCAGACATAAAGATTACCCCCTTGTCCTCTATGATGACCTCAGGCTGAATAACTCTACACTGAGTTCACTATATGAACCACTGATGTATTTATACATGTTGATCATATCCCCCCTTAGTCTCCTCATCTCAAGAGAGAATAAATTCAGTTCCTCTAACCTTTCCTCATAGCTGAGCTCCTCTATGCCTCTTATCAGTTTGGTTGCCCTTCTCTGTACTTTCTCCAGTTCCTCAATGTTCTTTTTGTGAATTGGTGGCCAAAATTGAACTGCATATTCCAGATAAGGCTTTACTAATGATTTGTACAGGGGTAATATGATATCTCTCTCTCTCTGGAGTCTATACCTCTTTTAATACAAGAGAGGATTTTGCTCGCTTTAGAAACTGCAGCTTGGCATTGCATGCCATTATTAAGCTTGTGATCTACCAGAACTCCCAGATCCTTCTCCACCATTGATTCCCCCAGTCGTACCCACCCTAGTATGTATGATACATGCATATTCTTAGCCCCCAAGTGCATAACCTTACATTTATCAACATTAAACCTCATTTGCCACATAGTTGCCCAATTAAACAGTGCATTGAGGTCAGCTTGTAACTTGGAGACTTCCTGTAAGGATGGTATTCCACTGCACAACTTGGTGTCATCTGCAAAGATTGAAATGGGATTTTTAATCTCAAACCCTATATCGTTTATAAATATATTAAAAAGTAAGGTCCCAACACTGAACCTTGGGATACACCACTGACAACCCTAGACCATTCAGAGTATGAATCATTAACCACTACTCTCTGAACACAATCTTTTAGCTAATTTTCTACCCATTTACATATGGATTTTCCAAAGCCTGTACACTTTACCTTACATATTAGCTGTGTGTGGGGAACTGTTTCAGTACTCAGTACAGACACCCACTAGTTCAGATGCCCAGCAGTACAAACATCCCTCTGTATGGACCCCCATCAGTACAGACACCCCCAGTGCAGACAACCCCCAGTACAACCCCCCCCTTCCAGTTTCGCTCAGTACAGACATCTTCCAGTATAGACCCTCCCCAGTAAAGACACCCCTCAGTACACACAAACCCTTGTGCAGACAACCCCCCCCAGTAAAGATTCCCCCAGTACAGACCCTACTCAGTAAAGACACCCCTCAGTGTAGATGACCCCCAGTACAGACCCCCATCAGTACAGACCCCCTCCAGTAGAGACCCTTATCAGTTCAGATGACCCCCAGTATGACAATCCCATTATAGGCCCCCCAGTACATACCCCACTTGGTACAGATACCCCTAGTACAGACCCTCAAGTAAACCTCCCTCAGTGCATACAACCTCCAATATATCCCCCTATTAAAGGCCTCATTCTGTGTGCAAGATCCAGTATAGACCTCCATCACAGAGACATGTTTGAGTCAGGGCTACTGTTAGAAATCATGGGGCCTTGTATAGCCTACCTGACAGGCCCAACCTTCCCAGAAAATATCAAATTAAATTTTTGCTACAAATACACTAAAATCAGTATTAGCAGACACAAATGCAAAAAAATGAATGTTAAATCTAAATAGATAAAAAATAGATAAAACTATGCTGAGGTAATAAATAAAGCTCTGCGTGTGAATGAGATCTTGGGGGTCATTCACATGGACCTTTGTTATGGCGTCTTGTGTTGTACTATGGGGATCCATCAACTGTAAGTACACAGCCACAGGTCTTAATTCGACAGGCGTGTGCATGCAGGTGCACAGCTCTGTACAGACAGCGTGCATTCAAAACCACTCACCCACGTTTACGCACCTGTCATACTAAGGCCCTGTGGCTGTGTTTGTACTGAAGCTGCTTTGCCCATAGTGCAACAGGCTGCTCCAGCTGCATGAACAAACCAAACAGACTAACAATGCCAATTTCTGTGCTTGAGAGTGGGTCCAGAGAAGTCAGCTGGTTACAGTCACATCCTGGCTGCTCAGATAGTTCCTGCCTTGCTGCCCTCATAAGACTGGAGAAGTCTAGGAACACTCTAACCATGAAAAAAAACAGAGGGCGTACCGGCCTAGTGCACTATCCTTAAAACATGCTTTTATTGTATGTTGTACTCACAAAACAGAAAATGTCACAAGCTCTGTCATGTGACACATCGAATCGTGGATTGGACTGTGCTGTTTTTGATGAGCTTGTGACATTTGCTATGTTGTGAGTACAATACTTACCACTTTTTAACAATAAAAACATGTTTTAAGGATAATGCATGAACAATCCACTCATTTGCATGGCCAGAGTACCTGTGTGAATGAATCCTTAGGGTGGGTGTGTGTGTGTGTGTGTTGGGGGTGAGGCACAGATACAGATTCCCCTGTGGCTCTCCTACAGTGCAGTTGGTGGGAGGAAGAGATGTAGAGGTTGACTGTGCTGCAGGAGCGCCAGAAGGAAATCAGTTCCAGTGATAAGGCAGTACAGCTGGCCCTTCTGCTCAGCAGGTGCCCGGCCCCCCTGTTGAACTGATGGGGCCTGGGGCCCATGAAGGAGGGCTGACAGTACTGTCTAATCAATGAGCTACATCATGGAGGTACATACCCCCCATCATTACAGACACCCTTCAGTGCAGACAACCATACAGACCTTCCAGTACAATTCCCCTCAGTACAGACACCCTAAAATACAGACCCCCCAGTACAGATAACTCCCAGTACAGACATCCCCAGTGCAAACATATTTCAGTACAAAACTCCATCAGTACAGACACCCCCAGTACAGACCCCCCTTTCCTCATTACAAACCATCATCAATGTAGGCAACCCTTAGTACAGACCACCCTTAGTACAGACACCCTCCAGTACAAACCCTCCCAGTACAGGCTCCAATCAGTACAGACACACCCAGCAGCCTACCCCTCAGTACAGACACCCTTAGTACAGACTTCCATCTATACAGGCACCCTTCAGTACAGACCCCTTCAGAACAGACATCCATGCCAGCGTAATCCCTGAGTACAGACACATCAAGAACAGACCCCGCTTCAGTACAGACACCTCAAGTACAGACCCCCCTTCAGTACAGACACCTCAAGTACAGACCCCCCTTCAGTACAGACACCTCAAGTACAGACCCCCCTTCAGTACAGACACCTCAAGTACAGACCCCCCTTCAGTACAGACACCTCAAGTACAGACCCCCCTTCAGTACAGACACCTCAAGTACAGACCCCCCTTCAGTACAGACACCTCAAGTACAGACCCCCCTTCAGTACAGACACCTCAAGTACAGACCCCCCTTCAGTACAGACACCTCAAGTACAGACACCTCTTCCCAGCCTAACCCCCACTACAGACCCCCCCTTCAGTACAGACACCAAGTACAGACACTTCTTCCCAGCCTAACCCCCACTACAGACACCCCTTTAGTGCATTTCCTCTTACCAATCAGCAGGCAGTTCAGAGTGAAGGAACTCCTCCCCTCTGCTGTGACATGTGATTGAAGCAGAGGAGGAGCCTGTCCTTGGCTCTGAACTGTTGCAGTCAGACAGGCAGAAGCTTCTGTCTGTCTGACAGAGAAAAAAAACCATGTCAGCCAATTGGACGGCCAGCACCTTCAGAGTGATAGTTCCCGGAGCAGACTATACCTGCTGAACCCCCTAAGTACACCACTGACCCTTAGCAGGCTTGCTAACCTATGTCCAGGCTATGTAAGAGGCTTCTGGGTATGGTCATTTATTCTGAAAACCACAAAGAATGAACTATTGGTGATTCATTTCTCATAAAACAATTACAAGTTTTAAAGTGTTAATAAACCCACAACAGTAAAATCAGTCTGTATATGCAGTGAAGTATGCTTATTATACTCACTATGGAACCTGATGGGTTAATCCTTTGCATTGTGTAAAAAGGCTGTTTGATCTTGTCTTCTCTGATCCTCCCCTTATTTTACTGTTCCCAATCCATCTGTCATAGTACAGAGCAGCAGTGACAAGTCTGCACATTCTGTTTGGTGTGCATTGCTAGAGTTTTTTTTGGGGGTGGGTACATGTGATCAGCACGGGGCCAATCAGTGCTGTCTGGACACTTCAACCTTATAGGACAGTCAGAGGTGAATGTGATTAACCAGTACTTGGCCAGACACTGATAGAAGTCACAAGACTGCTATATACTGATGATGAGAAATGGTATTTAGCAGTTTACATTTACTAACATAATTTCCATGTTCTGTGTGCTGTGGAAATTACTGAGAGCATTTCCATTTTCTGTGTACTGTGTAAGACTGGATATAGTGAATGCAGGGTCATGGGTTTAGTAAGATTTTAAGTGTGTTACTTCTGTTTTTATTTATCAGGTTCAGACTCTTGCCAACTTTCTGAACAAAAAATAATTAAAAATAACATTTTACTACCAAGGAGTGTTTCCCACCGTAAAGTCTTCAGAAGTGGTGAGAATATGCAGATCAGGTGTAAGCCTGGACATTTCGGTCTTTCCCCTGCTCTGGAATTGAAATGTTTGGATGGAAAGATGACCTATCCGAAATGCTCACGTGGACGTAAGTATGCCACTTACTTTCAGACATAAAATAGTAATCACTATATTGCTTTGTCTTGTTACCTGTAACAACCAAAAAAAAGGTAAGAAAGCAATTTCAAAAATGCATTGAGTCAGAATAAGTTACATACATGGATCAGTACACAACCAAAACCCTTTCATTGGAAAACAAAAAATAAATACCGTACACAAGTCCAAACAGTACAGTGGGTGTGTGGCTGACAATTATTCAGCATTAATAGGCTTTAGTCTTTTATTACCTCATGTTAAACATACACTTCCTAATTGTACATTAAAGTTTAACTAAAGGAATTTTTTTTGGTTTGGACGGGGTTGAGAATAATTAAAGCAACTGTCCACTTTTTATTGCTGTATATGCCCCCATTTTGGAGATTCAGCCTCTAATTTTCCTGTTTACCATCATAAGTGAAAGTAAAAGACTCCAAATTTTGGGTAGCCCCAGAATAATAACAAAGGAAATCTAGGGACACTAGTTCTGGTGACCTTGGTGACAACCAGGGATTCCCAGTCTTTGGAGGGTTTCCACTCACTTCCTGTTGGGGCTATGAGATAGGAAATGAAGGGGGGATCTCCTCAATAGGACACAGATGGGAAAAAAAAAAAAAAAAAACCACGACAGGGTTATAACTTTTCCTTACTCTTCTCAAAATTAAAAAAAAAAAATGTTTAGTCCTTTAGTTTTACTTTAAGGGGCACAGGATAAATTGTTCAAGTACACTGGGTTATGCTGCTGCCCTTAAGGGACTAGACACTGGCAAAACAAAAGCTGTAAAGACAGTCTAGTATAACCCCTCCCACTCCCATCACATCTCAATTTTTGCCTGTATCTTTGGAGAATAGATTTCTTCTCTCCAGTAAGAAAAGCAAAAACCTTTTCTTTTCATCCAGACTCTTTTTCTTCTTGGAGGTTTTTTGAGTTGCTCTAGAACCAGAAGGGACTCATTTTGCATGTTTCTTGATCAGTTGATCCTTGAAATTGCCTCAGAAGCAGTACTTAGACCTCTCTCAGAGGAAGAAACAAGGCTGACTTGGAATGTGTCCTTCATTGCTGTGCTGAAAGTACTTGCCTAGGCACTTATGCTGTCAGCTCCAGAGCTATGGAGCACCTGTCTGGTGGAGCTCTGCCCCTGAAGACTCCTTAGGGAGTTTGTCCACCTGAGGAAGATCCGTGGAAGTGGCATGTTCCCTGAATCCTGTCTCTTTGTCCCCAGAGTGCCTGTGTGGAAACTGCAGGGTCTCTAATGCCTCAGTTTAGGTGAGTCATGGCTTTGCCCTCATATGTAGGGAGCCTTGCATTCACTTCTTTTTTCACCCTAAGGGATTAACGTTCCAGTCAAGACACTAGTGGTTACATGGCCAGACGTCAGCTAAGACAAATATTAATTGCAGTGATAAAGGAGGAAAGAAGAGCTGGTCATATTTGAAATTGGAGATCTTGCAGTCCCTTGTTTGGCTACATGGGCTCTTTGGCCTTCCTGCTCCTGCGGGGGCTCACTACGTATACACACATGCTATTTCTTGGAGACCTTGTTCCCTGTCTGCTATCTCCTCACCTATACATCATTCTCAATGATCTTCTGGACATACACTTTGACTTAATTTTGCCCTACTGTGACCTGATCACAGATGGTATTAACCCTTCTTGCTGCAGTGGCAGTTTGTATGTACCCCTTGTGGGCAATACGTAATTTGTGTACCTAGTATGGAGAATCATAAGGGCAGTGGTCCAAGAGGCCTTCCCAGCTTATGATCCCCTGACAGTAATGGGGTGAGTCCTGCAGAATTCTTCCTGAGGGACCTGACATTGATAATGTGGACCACTGTTCCTTGCCTGAGTTGCAACACTCCTGAGAGTCTTCCCTAATCCTGGGGTAATTTTTTCCTCTATTTTATGTTCGCAGAGTCTGCCAGCATGCTTCCATGCCTTCTCCTCCAGAATCCATTACTGATTTCCCTGGGGCTGCAGCTGCTTCAGACCAGTCACCAGAGGATAAGGAGAACTGTACTCTATTATAATTTGAGGAGTTACAGGAGTCCTAATTGGCAGAAATAACTCCAAAGCTCAAAGACACAATTAATCCTTACTGACCCAATCTGCACATGCCTAGACTTGAAGTCTACCTGTGTCAACTATGCCTAAAGTTTCCAGCCTGGGTTTTATAAATCAAAAAAAGTATGTAAAAAAAAAATAAAATAGTGAAATAAGTTCTTTATATTAGAAAACAACCAAATGAATAAGATTAATTGAACATTAACCTAGAAGAGATTTTGAATATGAGGTAGATTATTAAAACTTTTTGAAAGGTATGGTATATGTGAATGAAACTAGAAATACACAAAACCACCAGGAGTACATATGGTACTAAGTTTTACTTAAACTGTAAATTGTTATAATGCAGGGCAGACTGACCATTTGGAAACTCGGGCACTGCCCGAGGGCCCAGGGTCATTAGCGGGCCCCATGAGATGCCCCTGGTACCTTTTTCATAGGCTTTTTTGAGTTTGGGCAAGGACACAGGGGCCCTATGATCCCCTATTGCCCGAGGGCCCCATGAGTTGTCAGTCCACCCCTGTTACAATATATCAAGATTAGATCATTATATTAAATTGATACATTGTTCTTAACAGGGGTTGTAAAAACACTGTCCAATGGACAAAATATTGATTGATGGTGAACATAATATCACAGTAGAAAACACATGAATATATGATGAATTAACCACAAGTTGCTAGATAGAGATAGGTATTAATTGATAAAACAATAAATTGTTATAGTGCAGTACATTCTTTATATTAGGAAACAATAAAATTAGTTGAAAATGTATTAAGAATTCATTATGAATTCATTTTAAAAGTGTTTTCAAAGGTATTTGTGAATACAAAATTGAAAATGCAAAACCACACCTATAGGGAGAGCATTTGTCTCTATGTTTTACTCAAAACATAAATTGCTACAATGTATCATGAACACATCATATTAAATGGATACCTTGTCTTTCATTAACTCTGAAAAAGAGAGAAAACCAGGGATTTTGTAAAAACCTGCAAAACTAATAGCAGGAATCAGAGCGATTTATAGAATAGTATGGACTTCTAGCTTTAAATTAAGGACCAGTGAGCACTGTTGTGTTTACATTATAAATCCAATAAGAATCCAGGTTACAAAGTTTTTAAATTGTTCAGCCTGTAGGAGACTAGGGGAAATGGCAAACACCCTAAGGCTTTCAATGCTTTTATTATGTTTAATGGTAAAGTGACAGGGATGATGTGATACAGAGAACCTTTTTTCATATTTCTACAGTGTTCTCAAAATCTACTATAAATCAGAACTGTGGCCTATGTATAACAGGCCACAGGGACCAGTAAGTTCATTATCCACATAGTCACTTGAAAAGGTGATGAATTGTTCGATCAGGTTCAGGTTTGCATAGGTTTGTCCTCAACGATCAAGAAATCTGTCTTAACTGTATTGAAAAAAAAATGACACATAGGGCATTGTAGGTTTCCTGCACTGGAAAATACCTATCCTATCATCAAATAAAAGCTTGATGGGTTTGTTTGCTCTTTGTTAGTTTACTGGGTTCAATTTAATTTTTTATGTTTAGTGCTTTCTTCAAAATAATCTTAGGTTTTGTAAGCAAAACAGAACCTAATCTGTGATCTGAAAATAAGAGATACTAGTTGTGCTTTGTTTTAATTCAATGTTAGTGTTTATGAAATATAAGTGGTTAGTGCTTCCGCCTAGCAGCACCAGGGTCATCAGTTGGAATCTCAACCACGGCACTACCTGCCTGGAGTTTGCATGTTCTCTCTGTGCCTATGTTGGTTTCCTCCGGGTACTTCAGTTTCCTCCCACACTCCAAAGATATGCTGGGAGGTTAATTGTCTCCTGTCTAAATTGGCCCTAGTATGTGTATGTATGAATGTGAGTTAGGGACCTTAGATTGCAAGCTCTTTGAGGGCAGGTACTAATGTAAATGTACAATACATACGGTATTTAAAGCACTGCGTCAATTGACAGAGCTATATACTGTACATACCAGTAATAAATAATTATAACAATATCAAACAATGTACATAGTTCTCAGTGTTACCTCTTGTGTGAAGGTCAGTAGTGAGCATGTTCTAGCCAAAAGTCTTGTTCCCATTCTCCTCCTATGCCCTTCCACAGGACTGCTATTTAATGTCATTACCATTACTCATAGGCTTGAGAAAGAGGAGAGTTTCCTTAAATTACCTAGGGACACTGAAGCCACCTGGATGCAGAATGTGCAGCTTTAGAGGTCACTTGACAACTAGGATGCTGCCATCCTCCAGCAAAGAGTAAGTCGCTGTGCCTCTATGGGTCTAGAAACTGCCTTTGAGCACTGGTCATTAGAAGGGAATAGAGCACATCTCCTTGGATTGTTAGTATATGCCCTGCTTTAATTCATTTGAACCATTAGTGCATTATGTACTTTTGCTATTCATACACAGTGTGTCCTTATTGCACAAGGTCATTTTGCATCCTTTCTATTTGTTGTTCTGCTTTTAGTCCAAGTTGGGGAAGGTCTGGTGGCCTTTATGTTACGTTATCTGTTCTCAAGAGATTCCAGACATCTGGGTCTATAACATTGTATCCAGAGATTACAAACTTCATGTTGTCTAACTTGCAGCATCCCCGAAAAGATTGGTGGATTGACACGCTGTTCTGTCGCAGCTCCTCTCTCAAGAAGTCATAGCTATTGCCCCAGAAAGGAACGTTACAAGACATTTTTCCAAACTTGTTCACCATTTCCTAGTCCCAAGTAGGTCATCTGCCCCATACTCCTCAGCACCTTTCTCCAGTTAGGGAAATTCTGTGTGGATTCTGCCAGGTTAGCTATTGCTTCTCCATCGAGGAGATCTTTTGGTCTCCATGGACATCATGGATGCCTATCTGTATGTCCTCATCTTCCAGTTGCATCAGTGATGCCTGCATATTGCAGTGGATGCAGCCTT